CCTGCGCGGGACGGCGCCGAGCGGGGCCGGATCCGGACTCCAGGTTGCGATCCGCTCCGGAAACTGCGCAGCACCGGAAGCCGCGGGGCGGTGGCGCGGCATCCTGGGAGTTGTAGTGCGGCGGGCGGCGGCGCGGCCCGGAGCTGCCCGCTGGAGCGGGGCTGGGAGCGGGTACCGCCGGCCCAGCGGGCTCCGGGGTTGCGGGCTGCCCTGCCTAGGGCTGCTTCTGGCTCGGCGGGAGGCACTGGCGGCCCCGCGTCCACGCCAAGCCCCTCGCCGGCGGCCGGAACGAGCTGCCCAGCGCTGGCGAATCAGGAGAAACCGCCCCGTAGGGAATGAGCGTCTGAGGCGCGGTTCTTGAGGAGGTGTCGACTCCTGCCTGCAGCGCACGTGCAAAGACTGCAGTAAGGCCGCGTCCATTCATCAGATTGGCGAAGATCGAGTTTAGAGCGTTACTTGGAAGAAAGCAGTGCCGCTCTGCTGGCCGCCGCTGGTGGGCCGTGGCCTCCGCCCGGAGCCCGTGGCTGTCCACGAAATCTCAAGGCCGTGGACCCCAGGGTCCCACACCCAGGGGCTCCCCTGCAGATAGACGCCTGTGTAGGTTGGGGACAAGCGGCCCGGGGTGCCTGTGGGCAAACAGGCTGCAGCGGAGTGGAGGGTGCGGGGCGGCCCTCTCGCCTCCCCAGGGTCTGCCAGGGACCCGGACCGCTGGCCAGGTCTGCCCTCTGCTCGGTCCCTTCTGGGCTGGCACGGCACTCTCCCCGCAGCCTGCCCTCCAACCCTCCACACTCTTGCTTCTGGTCTTTGTCCAAATGCTGCCCGCCCCCTCCACACTCGTCTGACACCACCGTCCCGGATACCGGGGCGATCTCTTGACTCCAAAATGCCCCACTGGGCGCCCCATACTAACTTCCCAGCAGCACCCACAAGCACAAGCAGGTAGTTTACAGATAAAAGTGACAGTCACAGCAGGAGCGAAAGACACCTTCAGTCCTTCCTCTTATACGTACTGCACGGCCCAGGGTTGGGGTTCACAGCCACCTGCTGCCCCAGGCCTGCAGCATCCAGTGTCCTTCACGAAGAGCACTAACGCAACGCACCATCTTCCAGCCGGGCAGAAGAGGAGAAATGCCCAGCTCTGAAGGCTGCTGGGGGAAAGGGACCCATGTGACCATGACGGGTGACCCTGCTTAGTAACTGCAGCGTCCTGGGCTCCCGGGGCCTCTGCCACAGAAGGTGCGTCATGGAGGGTTTCAGCGAAACATCCCAAGGCCTTGCCACAGACAGGTGATGGACGAACGGACAGATGGACGGATGACAGATGTCGATCAGCGGGCTAAGTTGCTGCGTCTAGTGACAGGTGTGTGTCTGTAGGCAGGTGTGATATTTTAAAAATGACTGTAAATGTTTTGGGGGTTTTTTCTTTTGTACTGGGGATCGAACTTGGGACCTTGTGTTTGCAAGGCAGGCAGCAGAACCACTGAGCTAAAGCCCCGTCCCCGACTGTAAATGTTTTTATTTTTATTTTATTTTACTTTATTTGTTTGGTACCGGGGATCGAACTCGGGTCCTTGTGCTTGCGCAGCAGGTGGCGAAACCACTGAGCTAAATCCCCGGCCCTGTAACTGTTTTTCAATGGGACGGGCTTCCATGACCCACCCTCCTAGGAACACTGTTCTCCCCCAACACACACCAGATGGGGCTCCAGCCCTGCTTTTGCCAACCAGCACCCTTGGTTGGTGTAACTTCAACTCCTGTTGAAGGTATCATAGTCAGGCGTGGTGCTGCAATCCAGCACTCGGGAGGCTGAGGCAGGAGGATCGCCACAAGTTCGAGACCAGCCTAGGTTACAGAGTAAGTTCAAGTCCAGCCTGAACTACTAGGGAGACCCTGTCTCAGAAAAAAAAGGCATCATAGATGTCCTTAGCCACTTCTCTGCTCACCTCTACCTTTTTAATCTAATTTTTATCATACAGATAAAGAGAAAAGACGACTATTAGCAAATAAATTAATTCCTACTGTGTGCAAAACATGGAATCTTACTATGATATTCTTGCCTGTTGCAGGCAGCCCTAAAGTATGGGAAAGACCATGTAAGGCCACAGTCATTAACCTCTGCACTTGACTCAGGCAGGCAGGTTAATGTGGCTGCATCCAGGCAGTGTAGGCAGGTTGGCCTGGACCCGCATTCCCGAGGGCACCCACAGCAGGTGAGGTTGGAAGGCTAGTCGGCGAGGACACATCTGGCCTTCAGCAGCTCTGTGCTGGCAGCCTTGCCCAGACCAGTCGTGCCCACAGCTGGGCCGGCTGCTGTCCCCACCTGGGCCACCTGCCCTGGCAGATGTGGACAGCAGGGGTCCTCTTGGATCACGTGGGTTCCCACGTGGGTGGGCAGTCTGAGCTGCACCCTGCTAGCTCTGCAGATGTGCCCCGCAGCAGGCCTGCCAGGCTCCGCCACTGGGGGACCGAGGCCCAGACAGTCCCCAGTGTGAGTGTCCACAATTCAGCTCTCTTTCTGAAAGTGTGATTTTAGCACACACCTGTAATCCCAGCATTCCAGGAGGCTGAGGCAGGAGGATTGCAAATTTGAGCCTAGCCTGAGCAACATAGTGAGACCTTGTCTCAAAATAAAAAATTAAGGCTGGGATTTAGCTCAGTGGCACCGTGCCTACCTTGCAAGCGCAAGGTCCTGAGTTTGATCCCCGGTACCCAAAAAACAAAAACAAAAATAAAAAAAAATAATAAAAAGGGTTGGGAATGTAGTTGAGTTCAACAGCCATGGGTTCAATCTCTAGTAATGGGGGAAATGTCAGGAGGAAAGTCTTCTGCTGAGCGCTAAGACTGAACAGATGGTTCCCCACCTGCCCCTCCTTTAGGTCAGCTGCCTGTGATGGGGGCCCCATGCAGGGACAGAGAGGGTGACTCAGACCCTCCCCGCACCCAAAGGACTCCCAGGATGCACAGGGCTCGGCAGAAACCACTCAGTGTGCTGTGTTCTATGTGCATGTTTATTTCTCCCAACGACTGCTCAAACTACACTGCAGTCCTCCGGTGGGACCTGTGGGGCCAGGGACACAGTGCGGGGTGGGGTCATCGTGTGTAAAGTGCTGCTGGGGCTCCGTCACCTCCATGGAGCCTGATGGCCACTCGCATGCCTCGTCACACCAGGCCTCTGCCCTGGGAACCTGCATTTTCTTCTCTTTAGATGTGGGACTGACCCAGCACTGGAGAAAAAGCACACAGCGGAAGGCTTGGGGACAGTGGGGCCACAGCCTGGGGTCAGCAGAGAGCCCTGCGGTTCTGGGGTTCTGCTGCCTCCCCATCTGGGGCGGTGGAGACAGGGCCTGGCATCCAACTTGGTCCCAACTGAGGCCTGGGTTCTGGCCCCCGGAGGTGGACAATTGGACTTCCATCATCCACCAGGGCCTACAAAATACCCGCTTTCTGGTGCAGCAATGCAAACTGACCCTTCCCTTTCTGCTCAAGAAGAAAGTCCCAGGCTCTCTTTGGCAGATGCAGCCAGAAATCTAGATGGGTGAAGACCAGGCAGGCAGCCATGGTGAGGAATCTAGGGCTGGTGTTGAACTCAAACTTGAAGCTCGATTAAGATAAAGTGCTCATGTGGACCCTTCTCACAGCAGGTTTTCTATTGGAACAGGAGGTCTGGACGTTCATTATTGGTACATGAAAATGCAACACTCCCCTGAAAGGCCTCTTCACAGCCCCTTAACAAAGCAGGGCAGGGGGTGGCTGGCTCATTCCAACTACCCCACTGCCTGCTTTCAAAGACACAAACACGTGTCAGTATCTCTGTCCAGGAGGAATTGCTTTTAAAATTTAATCTGCAAAAAATTTCATCAAGATGAAATAAAAATACACAAAAGCCCTGAAGCCACTAAAACTCGTGGCAGGTGACCCACCTACCAGCGTTGTTAGCATGTCCCACATCACATGACCCCATCTTTACTGTCAGTGACACGCACTGTGACACAAACACCTTACACCACTGAAAAACAGACCCCCGGGGGACGCTAGGAGTGGGGCCTCACAGCTTCAGGATGGCCCGTTTTCTCAGGGCCCCCAAGGCCACCTGCGGTCTCTGGTGTCTGTCACCCTCTGCGACACTAGTGATCTCTGTCACAGGGAAAAGGCCACTTGGTGGAGGGCACACAGGTCACTGCAGGAAGCAGGATGGTTGAAACAGCTCTGTCTGTCTGAGAGCGAGGAGCAGAAAGTTCAAACACCAGCATACGGAACTTCCAAACCAAACCGCGGAAACTGGTGGCAGGGCGTCCCTAACGCAAAACTCCCAAGTCAGAAGCCCTCCGAGCACCGGGGCACTCATGAAGTTTCAGGTTTCTGAGCGCTTTGGATTTTCAGATTAGAGGATGATCAGCCAGGAAGGGCTGTTCACACATTCCAGGCAGGAGAACCTTGAAACATCAAGCACTTCTGGCCTCCAGACATTTTGGAAAAAGGGAACGAGGTCTGTACTAAAAACTTCTGATCAGGGTCTGAAATTCTGACACATCGTGTCCTCTCAGGGTTAAAGCCTTGTAAGCTCAGCGAGATGGTGCACACCCGTACTAACCCCAGCCACTCAGGAGGCTGAGGCAGGAGGATTGCCAAGTTCAAGGCCAGCCTATTTCAAACTAAAATTTGAAAACTGGGGCTGGGAGCATAGCTCAGTGGTAGAGCACTTGCCTGGCATGGGCAAGGCTGTGGGGTCAATCCCAGTACTGAAAAGAAAGAAAAGAAGAAAAATGTTTGTTGTATGTCACAAGTTCTGCCAGCACGTGACAGTAACACTTCGAGTACGAGGAAAGATTAAGGGGACCCTCCACTCACAGAGGTAAGGAGTGGTCTCTGACTCGGGACACTAGCTTGCCAAGGTGTGTGTGGGGGGCTTGGGGACTTTACAATGATTAAATTAGAAAGAGCCTTTTTAGAGCCGGGTACTTAGCTCAGTGGTGCTGCCACCTGCCGCGCAAGTGCAAGGTCCCGGGTTTGATCTCCAGTACCAAAAAAACCAAAACAAAACAAAAAAATAAAAACAGTAGTTACAAAGTCGTGGTAGTCACTCCGTAACTCTGTGAATTTGAAAGCAAAATTTCTAGTGTAGTTTTCGAATCTGTCCCTCCAAAACAGGAAAGAAACACAAGTGCTGTTGTTTGGGCTTCCTTCCAGGCATCTGCTCACCACCGGTGGTTTCCCCAGAATGTGTTAGGGGTGCACAACTGGGCCCCGACCCATGCTGGGAGTCGGGCCTCCCCCAGCCTTCCCCAGCTCCAGAAGCTGAATCTGTGAGGCCCCCACCTGCAGGACAGTCACCCTGCAACCTGCTCGTCCCCTGGCAGGAACTGTCAAGGGGCCAAAGCGCAGTGCTCGCTGTGAGCAGACTGGACAGCACCAGCCTTGGGCTGGGAAAGTGGTCTCTCGGTGCTCAGGGACAGAAAACCGTGTGCCCCTTGAAGGACACCCCAAAACGTGGCTAGGAGCGCTGTGCACAGTGTAATCCAGGAGAGCCCCAAGAAGCTCCTGCGAGTCGGCCCATCTGTTATTGAGCTTGCATTCCTAAGGCTGACCCAAAGACACAAGGTCATTTCCTCCTCTACAGCCCTGACGGGCTTTCCTGGGCTGTCAGCCATATCTGGCAAGATCCACGCATGTGCACCTGGTGAGCTGGTGCTCGCTGCCCCGGCTTCCTGTGCCAGGCCTGCTGCACAAGCAGACGGGAGGCAAACCTCCTGTCTCCAGTCCCCTAGGCATCCTGCGCTTGATGTGCCAGAGAAAAATGTAAATCCACTTGGCCTGAGAGCATCTCCAGCAGCCAGTCGGCTTGGGGAAACTTGGAAGTGTTGAGCAAAATATGCATAGGACTGATGCAGGGCTCGCATACAAGGTCAAGTTCTATGGCTAATGTCAAAGGCAGAAGCTTTCCTATATTTGTTGAAGCATTTCCATTCCTATCATAATTTGTGTTTATCAAAAATCTCACTAGGGCCGGGGATTTAGCTCAGTGGTTTCACTGCCTGCCTCGCAAGCTCAAGGTCCCGAGTTCGATCCCTGGTACCAAAAAAAAAAAAAAAAAAAAATCCCACCACGCCCCACCTCCGTCCTCCAGGCCAGGTTCATGTTTTTGTTCTGGCAGAGGACCAGGGCCGTGTCCCACCCACATGGTGCCCAGGGACAGCGTGGGGCTCCTCCTCCCCATGCGGTCAGGCGTGGAGCCCAGCACTCTTCTGGGGGCAGCGTGGGTGTGCCAGCCCTGCCCCACTGCAGCCCCACAAAGCATGGTGCTTCTCTCCTTCCGGAAGAACCTCACAGCAGGCTGGAGCATGGCCCAAGCCAGGGCCGGCAGGTCCTGGGGGGCACCTGGCACATACTGGGCCATCAGCCCTCTTTGGCCAAAGCTGAAGATGCCAGGTGCTTAGGCCCAGAGTGCTGGAAGGAACCCAGCAAGAAGGCAGGTGTTGGGCATCGGCTGGTACCCGCTCCCTCCTGGGCAGGCCCACGTCAGTCGTCCTCGGCTTCCTGAGGAAGGAGTGGCCACGAGGGCTACGTGCAAGGCTCCCCGGGCAAACCGTTCACGGCGTCCCTGCCCCGCTGGCGAGGGAGCAGCTTCTTGTTCAGGATGCGGGTGAGGGTCTTGCCCTTCCGGCGGGGCCCCTCAGGCTGCTGCAGGAAAAGCAGGTCGTTGTGCGACTGGCTCATGCCCGGGTCCTTCTGCTGGTGCCGCCGGCGGAAGAACAGCTTGGCGCCTTTCCTAAGGATTCCTCCTGCAGGACGAGCACAGTACTGTCAGCCGGGTGCTGGAAGGAAGGAGCCTGGCCAGGGAACGGGGAAGTGGAAGCCCAGCGTCCAGCGGGGAGGGAGGGAGGGAGGCGGACAGCTTCAGGCGAGACTCTGAGGCGGAGGAGAAAGCCCGGCCCGGGGGGAGGCGTCCACGGCAGGAGGCCTTTCCCACCAGCCAGATGTTCAGCCATCTCTGCCCATCCTTCCCTGGGGCAGGACAGAGCCTGCACCCCAAGCCAAGTGAGGGACCCCAAGAACAATGGGGCTTGCTTGCTCAGGAAACTTAAGTAGCAGTTGTTATTCTGGGACTGAAAGGGTTTTTAAAAAATAATTCCAGATCTTACTCTGTGTGTGTGTGTGTGTGTGTGTGTGTGTGTGTGTGTGTGTGTGTGTGTGTGTACACTAAGCCACAGGAAATGTGATTGTTGTCAACCTACAAAACCTCAGTTTTGGGCTGAGCGATAGCTTGGGGACAGAGTGCTTGCCCAGTATGCAAGAGTACCTGGGTTCAATCCCCACACTGCCAGAAGAAAGGGAGGGATGGAGAAAGGGAAACAAAGAGAAAAAAGGAAAGACCCTGATTTCGTATGATTTGACCTATCTGTGTAGGATGTCAGCTGGCAGAATGTGGAACAGAAAAAATAGCAGCAGCAGCAGCAGCAGCAATAATTTCAACAGGAGTGGCTGGAGGGGGCGTTGCACACCTGTGATCCCTGCACTCATGCGGCTGCCTTGAACTATGTAGCCCAGGCTGGCCTCAAACTTTCAGCAATTCTCCTGCCTCAGCCTCCAGAGTGCTGGGATCACGGGTATGTGCCATAATGCCAGCCTGCACTACATAAAAGGGAACTTGCCTCCAAAAAGCTTTTAAAAAAAATCAACACCAATGGTTTCTCAAGATTAGGGTCAAGCTGTGGTGTTGCTTCTCCATAGATGGGCCGAACCTCCTACACCCGAGGCAGCCTGTGAAATCTGCTACCGTCTGTGTGGAGGATGAATGATTCCTCGGGAGACGGGCTGCGGGGGAGCTGAGATTTATCCCCAGCCTGGTGACTCACTCTTCCTGAGACAGCCCCGCTGCACACACCCAGCTCCGCTACTGAAGGAGGGCAGGGGGCTCCTCCAGACACTGTGTGCAGTGTCAGTACAGGGTGTGCTTCGTGGGCAGCATGTACTTCGGGGAGAGAGCCGGCCACCTGAGATGCCACTCTGGGACCTGACTTTAGAGGTGAAAGTCCTTGTCCTACTGGCAGATGTGGAGAAGCTGCAGAGTTCCAAGGAACGGGCTGAATTTCATCTGGTGAAAGCCTCTCAAGAATCACATGGCACAGGCCTGTAATCCTAGCATGAAGGAGGCTGAGGCAGAAGGATCCCTGTGAGTTCAAGGCCAGCCTGGGCTACACAGTAAGTTCAAGGCCGGCCAGCTTTGGAGAGGCTGGAGAGAATGAAGAGAGAGAGCAAAGATGTGGAAATGAGTTAGGCCCCACCCGCAGGCCTGGTGTGTGCCACTGTGGGCATAACCCTTAGTTCCTGGGGTCATTCAATTCCCTGGAAGACTGGTGATCATGGAAACTTAGCAGCCCCATGTGAGGTCGGCCGAGTGTCCCCTCTGAGGACAGGCCTGGCCGGTGGGAGTGTGCAGCAGCACCCCTCTGATTCCCGTGTGTCACATGACCTGCGGGACACAGGGCCGGGGCTCCAGGCACGGGACCCCTGCTTGGAGGTGGCTCTGAGGTAATCGGGACCGTGGTTGGGTGATGGGGGCCCAGGAGGCACCGGCCCCAGGGCTCTGCTCAGTGCTCCCGGAGAGCTTAAGAGGCGCCACACTCTCCCTAGGGGAACAGAGGCCCGGGAGGGAGCAGAGCAGCCGGGACCCCAGCAGGGGAGGTCGCCCTGAGTCCCTGCCCTGCGTCCTGTATGGAGCCTCCGTCGGGCTGAGCAGCAGGGGCGGCTCAAGGCCTAGCCATGTCCCCAAAGTGCACTCACTGAGCTCCTAGCCCCTGGCCTCAGAAAGCGCCTTATGTGGAGCTGGTCTTCAGAGGGGATGGAGTTCAACGAGGTGTGGAGTCCTTACAAAAGGAGGGCCTGGGGTCAGACAGACAGAAGCAGGGAGGAGGTGGGACAGGGGACGGAGCCTGGGGACCCAAGCGAGCCTACGAGAAGCCAGACTCTGTCACAAACCCGATGGCTCTGGAGGAGCCGGCCCCGTGGACATCAGTTGGACCCAGGGCTCCAGCAGTGAGGAACAGCGCAGCTGTGCTCTGAGAGTCACCGGGCTGAGCCAGAGCCTTTGCAGCAAGCTAACTTGCCAGCTCCTTTTCCAAGAAACTCTTCTGAGACAGAGCCTCACTAAATTGCCATCCTCCTGCCTCAGCCTGAGCGCTGCGATTACAGGTGTGAGCCACCACGCACCAAGCCTGGCCTGAATCTGTTGCTTAAAGCATTCAGTTCGTGGTGCTTTGTTACAGCCCTGGGAGACCCACAGCAGGCCAGCAAGGGAGCCTCAGGGCCAGGGCAAGGCCTCGTCCTCGGCAGCAGAGGCCAGTGGAGGCTCCCTGGAGCCCGGTGGATCCCTGCACCTCAGGTGCTGTAGGAGGGGCCTGCCTGGAGGTGTTCTCGTCCTGCTCCCCCCTGCTCTCTGCCTCTCGATGCCCTGGGTGAGCAGCTCTCCTCCACCAGGCGTGGAACCAGCCGACCATGGACTGAACGCCCTGGAAACTGAGCCAAAACAGAGCTCTCCTCCTCTGAGGCCTGCGGGTCAGAACTTTGTACCCGCGATGGCAAAGTGACTCACACAGCCACCAGGGGCCACCTGAAGTGCCGGGCTCTGGCAAGGTACCAGCAAAGGACCGCTGCCCTGATACTGGGGGCAGGAGAGTGGCCCACTGCGGAGGGGACACAGGGCGGGCGGCTGTGTCCCAGTACTGAAAGGAGAATTTTCACACTTGCGCCTTCATAGAGGCTTGCTTCAGTGAAATCGAACTATGAGCGCCTACAGTTCTGGCTCATGCCTTACCAGGACGGAACAAGGACGGTCACCCTGTGGGGAGAAGGGTGGGCAGGAAGACCGTCCTCCTCCTCAGCCAGGTTGCTTCCGGTCCTCCCAAGCCCCCTTTCACTGGCCAGCATCAGCGCCAGACACGAGGGTAGTGCGCCCCCCGCAGTCCCCCTGGCAGCCTCCAGGGCCCAGGTCTCTGTCACCCAGGCCAGGGTGACGGGAGACCGCTGGCACCTCTGTGCCCTCGGGGGATCTAGGCGGGTCAGACAGGGCCCAGCCGGGTGGGCGGCTGATGTGTGGCACATGGGGCACCTCCTGGGCCCGGGAGAGGCAGCGAGGCAGTGGGTGGGCAGGAGTCCGGGGTTCATCTCTGCAGGGGACCCGTGTGTGGTGGGTGGGGGCGTCAGGTGGTGCAAACCCACCCAGGGTAGAGCCTGGGCGCCAGCCACGGGAGCAGCGAGAACTAGCATGAGAGGAAGTCGCTGTTCCCTAAATACAGGGGCCCTGACTTGCGACCTCGATTCATTCACCAGGGCTGCCTGTAACTCAGGTTGGGCAGTGAGGGCTCAGGCTCCTCCACAGCCTTCACAGTCTCTCTCCTGCACACAGGCGGAGCTCAGCGTCCTTAGAGAGACCCCGGCCCAGGATTTCAGTAAACCCCGCATAGGAGAGGATGCTGTCATGTTCTTTCTAGAACCCTTTAAGGGTTAAATCTGTTTGAGACCATCTGGGAGCACAAGCGGCTGGCATCTAGGTCGTAACTCAAGACTTTGGCCATAAGTTAAAACTAAAATTCCAGTCGTAACCCAAACTGTTCATATGTCAGGTTGGTTGTAACTCAAGGGTCCACTGTAATTTCCTTTCCAGGGTGCTGAGGGTGGAGCCCCTGTCCCTGCACCCGCTAGGTGAGTGACCCACCCTGGGCTTCAGCCCCAGGCCCTGCTGAACAACAGTGCCACTGGATTTGAGCCACACATGATGCAGGGCTGCAGATCTGCTCCATGCCCAGGACACAGCTGCCCAGCAGGTGAGGCCCACCTGCTGTGGGTGACCCTACCCACATGGTGTCCACCTGTCTGCCCACCCTGAGAAGGGACGGCTGTCACGGTACCCAGGAATTCAATCAGATGCCGGGCCAGGTGCCTCTGTGAAGGTGTTCTGTACATGGGGTCAGTGCCTGCCACAGGGAAATGACCCGGATGGTGTGGTGGGCCTGCCCCGATCAGGTGAAGGGACTCGACTACAAGAAGGCAGCCCCAGCCCTGCCTGGGTCTCCAGACTTCAGACCCCAACTTTGAACGGGCAGTTAGTTCCTCGGCAGCCTCTCGGGAGGCTCCCTGCCCTGGGAACTGGTGCCCCGGCTGCTCATCTGATGGTCATGGAACGGAGCTTCACACCAACCGGGTTTGCAGCTGGGGCCTCTGTGCCTGCCTGATGCAGGAGTGAGACCTCGCCGGCAGCCAAAGCCTGCAGGCTCCTCACAGTGCAATTTGGAGCCACACCTGGTGGCCCACGCCTGTCATCCCAGCACTCTGGGGGCCAAGACAGGGAGGTCACCGTGAGTCCAAAGCCAGCCTGGGCTCCACAGCGAGACCCAGCCTCAGAAAAGCAACCAATCAACCAAAAAAACAAGAGAGATGCACTTTGGGTCGCCATCAGCTGGGGAGGGGACAGGGACGGGACAGACAGAAGGACGCAGTCCTGGGCCCGCGGCAGGTGACCAGGGTTCGCAGTGGCCACTGTGTCCCATGGAGAAGGAGAGAGGTGCCGGAGGGCTCCCCAGTCCTGGTGAGAGGCGGAAGCCCTGACTCCCCGGATTCTGTACACGAGTCATGGGGGACACACGCAACCCAGCACGCGTGCAGTCATCATGCAGTAAGCAAACACTGAGAAAAATGCTAACAGAGCCAGAAGGGCCACAGTCACAGGCACCCCACACATCTGCACGGCTGAGCAGCCAGGGAGGGCGACAGTCCACAGAGGGGCTGGATGAAGCCCAGGCAAGTGATCCAGATTTTCAAACAGGAGGGAGGGAGAAGAAAAAAGTCTTTCCCTGATTCTGTTTGTGGAGACAGGCTCTCCCTCGGTAGCCCAGGCTGGCCTTGAACTCTGAGTGCTCCTGCCTCAGCCTCCCGAGTGCTGGGATCACAGGCGTGCGCCACCACGCCAGGCCCTTTCCCTGATTCTAGCATAGAAAAAAAATCCCAAGAAGGCTGAAGTCTATAAACAAATACAGGGAGGAATTAAAGAATGATGACTTTAAATCGCAGCTCTAGCTCACAAGGAGCCTGGAGCTGGGTCCCCTTGTGTCTGCCATCACACACTGCCCAAGCTACCTGAACCTCGGAGTGAGGGGCTCCAACTCTCGGGGCACAAGGCAGCGCCCCATCCTGGCGGGACCAAGGCGCCCTGCTAACCCAGGCAGCCCCTGGAGCCCGGAGAAGCAGGCGGGCTTGGGAAGGCCAGGCTGGAGAGTGGAGAGGCGGAGGGGCGGCGGGCAAAGCGCAGGCTCTGAGAGCCGCTTCCTCACAGCAAGGCGGCGGGATTGACAGAAGGCGGAAGGAACTTACTGTGCACGACTTAGCTCTGGAGCGCGGCGCGATCCTCTGAGGTTAGAGGGATGGGCGCGGAGGCGAGAGCAAAACCAGAACGAGAGAGAGTGAGAATCTGGTAGCACCTGCATCACGCGCGCATGCGCGCACGCATGCTCAGTCACTGTGCAAGACACTGGCTAGTTTCTGTACTTTTCAGTTCCCCCCCAAACCTCCCAATGCTCTTTATGCAAAACACGCCTGCCGGGCGAGGTGGTGCAGGCCTGTCTCCCCAGTATTTAGGAGGCTGAGGCAGGAGCATTGCTGCGAGTTCAAGGCCACCTTGAACTACAAAGCAAGGTCGCATCTCTCCCCGCCCAAGACTGATCATGTGACCGACCACCTGTGACGCAGCACAGGGGTGCTAGGTGTCTCCCCGCTGCTGGGCGAGTCTATCGATGCTTGTTAAAAAGTCAACCCCTATTTGGGAATCGAGTTCCTGTGCTGGGTATCACAATCTGTAAATTTCCAACCAGAAAAATTCAAAACACATGGACACCCTCTGACTCCTTGCTACGGCAGAAGATACAGGCAGTTTGTAAATCACGAAAAATAAGTTTAAAAAGGAGAGCAGACTTCACAGAGCCGTTCCCAGTATGACCCATTTTGAAAAATGTTTTTTGGTGCAAAATGAAAATGATTTGGCAACTACGATACAGATGTCTCATAGAGAGGCTAACTGCAAAGCTCTTGGAAAACAGTGGAAGGAAAAAAAAATTTTTTTTGGTACTGGGGATCAAACTTGGGACCTTGTGCTTTCGAGACAGGCAGTGGAAGAACTAAGCTAAACCCCCAGGCCCTGAAAAAACATTTTTTTGAGACAAGGTCTCCCTTTGCAGTTCAAACTGGTCTTGAACTCATGTAGCCCAGGCTGGCTCTAAAGCATGGTGATCCTCCTGCCTCAGCCTCCGAGTGCTGGGATGACAGGCCTGGGCCAGGATGCCCAGCTAGGAAGGAAAACACTTTAAAAATGAGGCAAATGCCTCTTTCTGAAGCACTAGGGGTGGACGAAGCAGCAGTGCTCAGCTGAACATCTTCCCAAGCGCCAGCATCCAGGGAACTGAAAACCGGGGCCGGGCCGCCAGCTCCCCAGGAGCCAGCCCAACACCCCGAGCCCAAAGGGCGCCACCTGCCGGCCTGGATGTGGGGACAGGAAGAAGGGGAGAAAAGGGAAGGGAGGCAGGGAAGGGCCCCACCACCCTCTGCCCAACTCCCGGGCTGGGTTTCTCTCGCCCCAGGCAGAGCAGGCCTGGATGCGCACACAGGGGCCCGCAGCCAGGGGGCGCCAGAGGGCTCCAGGAGCGAGGTCACTGCTGGCTGGGGCTAAGCCCCCAGGCCAAGGTCAGAGCCCGTGGAAAGCCCCCCAGAGGCCGGCAGTGGGCAAGCAGGCCAAGGGGCTGGAATCCTTTCTGGGAAATTCCTCCTTTCTCGCTCTCTTCCTCTTTCTTTTAACTCCTCCCTGGTCCCTGGTTCACTGGCAGGCGAGGGTCATAGAAGAGCAGCAGGGGAGAAGAAGCAAAACCCAGGCTGGATGCCGGGTATGGGGGCGCACGCCTGCAACCCCAGCAATCAGGAGGCTGAGGCAGGAGGATCGCTGTGAGTTCAAGGCCAGCTTGGACTACAAAGCGAGACCCTATCTCAAAAAAACAAGAAACCACAAAAACAGGCGGGGATGCCCCAGGGCACTCAGACTCCCCGGGCAGGTTCAGTGAATGCAGCCAAGCCTGGCGGTGGGCATCTCAGCCGCAGGCCGCTGGGGTGGGGCAGCCCTGTGTCCTCGGGGGACTCAGCAGGCAGGGGCCAGAGCTGAGACCCCACATTGTCTCCAGACTAGGACGGCACAGCTGAGGCGGGTGGCCTGCCTTGCTCACCTCCTGGGGCCAGGGTCCTGCCGAAGGGGGTGCAGTGGAACCCGGGGAGGCAGCGCACGGGATGAGGGAGCAGCTGGGTGGGGAGGGGACACGAAGGACACCGTCCCGAGACAAGAGGGGGAGCTTGGGGCTCGGCAGGAGCCTTGGGGGCGGAGGCCCGTCGGGGTCAGGCCGTGCACACGCAGGCGAGGCGGTGGCAGGGTGCGCAGTGGGCTGGGTCACCGGAGCTGACTGCCCTGCAGCCGCCGGGCCAGGCCTGGGGAGGGAGGGAGGTGCCCAGCCCCGCCCCTGGCACTGGCTGGGGCCACTGTGGCAGGCGGGGCGCGGCAGCAGGGAGAGGGCGGGCACCCCACACCGCTGGCCCAGACTGCGCAGGGACCCGGTGGCTCTGAATCGCAGAGTCGCCGCTCCATGGCCGGGGGGCGGGGACCAGGCTGAGGGGAGGGAGGAGCCCCGGGTGCCCGGCAGAGCGCGTACCTTTCCGTTTCCTGGCGTTGCCCAGCTCCGAGGTGCTCAGGGAGCTCTCAGACAGCCCATCCCCATCCCTGTCCCCGCCGGGCGCCAACAGGCAGGGCTGGCTCCACGCTGCCACCTCCTCCTTCTCCAGGTCCCAGGGCTCGGGGTCGGGCTCAGGCTGCGGGCCCTCGAGGGCAGCGGGGACCAGGATTGGCTCGGGCCCGGCAGGGGGGGCGGAGGCGGTGGCCGGGCCATCGTCCTGGTGGGCGCTGTGCACGGAGGCCGAATGGTCCATCCTGAGGGCAGCGTCGTGGTCCTGAGAGAGGCAGGCCTGCCGGGACAGCACGGTCCAGGTGAGCACAGGCCCAGGACAGGCAGCCGGCGTCGGGGCGGGGTTTTGTTTGTTTTGAGTTAGGGTCTCTCAACATAGCCCAGGCTGGACTCCAACTCACAGAAGCCCTCCTGCCTCAGCCTCCCAAGTGCTAGGATTAGGGTGTGCAGCACCGCCCCCTCCACCCTGGGGCTTTTAAAGAGTCCGCAGGTGCAGTCGGCCCGCTAAAAAGGCCCTTCTGCCACAAGCTGCATGTGACACGGGGTCCTGGCCGAGGGTCTGGAGCCGGGGGATGAGCTTGTGTGGGAAGCAGCAAGTGGCCCTTCCCCGGGATGGGACCCATGCTGGGGGCTCCGGAGGCAGCACGAGAGGGCGATCCTTCCTTCCTGGAGGAGGTGAGCCCAGCGTCTCAGACTTAGCCTGTCAGCCTTTGCTCCCACAGCATTTTCATGCTACCTGCCAGCCGGAATTCACTGGCAGCTACTTTGTATCCTTTTAAGAATTGCATTTCTAACACAGTGGGTGGCGCATGCCTGTGATCCCAGCACTAGGAAGGCTGAGGCAGGAGGATCGCTGAGAGTTTGAGGCCAGCCTGAGAGGAGACCGTGACCCGGGTGGCCACGTCCTGTGCCTGTGAGCAGGCACCGTGAGCCCCACTCTGGCGTGACGGCCACTTTGGTGACCCACCTTCGGCGCTGGGGTCCCCCAGGCCACCCTCCCCCTGACCCTGCGGGAGGTCCCAGCCCCCACCTGTGCTCAGGTTCCCAAAGCCCGCCAGCCCCTGGTTCCAGACCGGACCCCCCCACACACTGTGCACTAGGAAACGTGGAGGAAGAGCAAGGGTCTGCTGGGGGACAGGCCATCCACAGCAAGCGCTTCTCCACGATAACGGGATAAATACCAGTTGCAAAAGACGTGAATGCTTGGGAAATGAGTAATGTGCAAAAAGCCAAGTTCCCCAGAAACCGGGTGGTGCCCAGGCGGAGGCTCACACCACGTCTTCCTGTCTGTGATTTTTCTTGCAGTTTCCCAACCCGCCCACGCACAGGGCACCCCCGGCGGACACCTGAAGCCACCCTGGAAACAGGCAAACAACCCACAGGAGGTGCCCGTCCCCCAGTGCCAACCGCCGCCTACCTTGGAGACCCCAGAAATGATGAGCGTGCTCTTCTTCCTGGGCGACTTCAGCTTCAGCTTCGAGGACTCACTGAGCTGTCGGATGGCGACTTCAGCCACAGGGTCCGACCCACTCAGCACCAGCAGCTCTGCGGGAGGGAGGGAAGTAACAGGGAGACGTCTCAGGGAGCCGGGCGCGGTGGCGACACCGGCCATCCCAGTTTGCGGGCAGCCAAGGCAGGAGAATCTCAAGTTCAGGGCCGGAATGGGCTCTCTATGGAGACCCCATCTCAAGGCACAAAAAGAGGAGGGGAGATGCCAGGCAGCCAGGGGGATGGTGGAGCTGAGGAGCCCTCGTGGGCTCTGCCTCAGGGCCATTCAGGAGAGGCGAGAGCGGACAGCAGGAGGAGAAGGGACAGCGAGCATGTACTTGAGAAAGCAGCAGCTCCAAGTCGCCCCGGGAGAACCCTCCACACCCGGCCGCTAAGCCAGGCCCCGTCCCGGCTCCCTGGCCCGAGTCAGAAGGGTCCTCACGGCCCTGAAGTGTAGATTTGGCCTGTGCTCCTCTCTGACCCATAAACCCACACACTCTGAGGGCTCCCACCCTCGGAGCAGCAGTTCAGGGATCCGGCCACCGCGTCCCTGAGCCGCTAACGCTCAGGCTGCATTTCAACCCGGCTGACAATGTCCGTGTTTGCTTTAGCCACTACTGGGCAGCCTGAGCGTCAGGAAACAGACACGAGGAAACTGGTAACTAGTGCAAAAATAAACACCCTAGATCCCCTGTCTGAAGGGACCCGAGACCACAACCCCCGAAGTGCCAGGCCACAGTGAGCAGCCCCTTGAATGCCCACGTCCTTCGTGCACTTTGACTCTGCCTAATCAGTTGGCTCAGGCCGCTGTGTCATCCAGGCTGGCCTCAAACTCATGGGGATCCTCCTGCCTCAGCCTCCCGAGTGCTGTGATTACAGGTGGGTGCCCCACACCTGGCTCCACTTATTATTGCAAAGCAAAACCCCCAAACTGAGGAGAGCAGCTCTGCTGCCAGGCAAGTGAGGGGGCTCCAGGATGAGCTCCTCGGGGCGGAGCAGGGTGTGTAGGGCCAGCGCTCCCTACCCGTGTCGGAAGAGGACAGCGTCTTGCTGACGGGCGCGCTGTGGTGGGAGATGGCCTGCACGGAGATGTCCTTCTCGATGACCTTCACCTTGACGGGTGTCCTCACGGGAGAGTCTGCCAGAGACAGACCCAGTTACCATGGCCGCCAGGGCTGCACCAGGCCCGCAAGGGAAAGATCCTGGCACGGGCAGGGGCCTGGCGTAAGACAGAGCTTCCTGTTTCTGTTTTTTCTTTTTCCTTTTTTTGGTGCTTTGAGACAAGGTCTTGCTAGGTAGCCCAGGCTGGCCTGGAACTTGTGGCGATCGTCCTGCCCCAGCCTCCTGGATGCACCATCAACCTTCTCCTAGGTGACTTTCAATCCAAGAAAGTCTGTACCGACCGCCTGCAGCCCCTGTGGGAACCGCAGCACTGAGTTTAACTCGGGGCAGCTGGGTCCCAGCCCAAACTGCTCACACGTCTGCAGTTCAGCTCTGAACGCACTGCGGGCAACCCTGCCTCCGCTTACCCGGTGTCTCCTCACGGACAAGAAAGGTGGAGCCCCTGCCCGGGGTCCCTCAGGAACGCCCCGCGCGGGCCGAGCACCTCACCCGACGCCCTCCCGGAGTCGAAGCGCGGCTTGGTCTTCAGGGCGGTGACAGTGGTGACCACGGTGCCGCAGGGCAGCACGGTGCGGTCCTTCTCCACCTGGGCGGTGGGCATGGGTGCGAGGGCGTGCAGGGCTTTGGGCTCCCCGGGCTCCGTGTACGAGAACTGCGGGGAGGCGGGCACCAGTTACGCGGACAGTCGCCCTTGGCCCCCGTCCCTCGGTTCTAGGACCCCGGGGTAGCAGAGTCCTCAGGAATCGTCGCGTTTTGCCTATGACCCACATGCCCTCCGCTGTGTCCCCGGGGCTGGATGCCGGCTAGGCAAGCGCACTCAGTGCTCTACCATGGAGCTACAGCCGCAGAGCTTTCTTTTCTTTCGAGACAAGCTGCCCAAGTTGGCCTTCAACCTGTGATCCTCCTGTCTCAGCCTGCAAGAAGCTGGGATTCCTGGCGTGCACGAGCATGCCTGGCTCCTCCAGGTTTCTCCACACCTACCACAAGTACATGCTACAGAAACAGCTGTGACACTGTGTGCTTTGGGGAACGGTAACACGACAAACATCCGTACGTGGAGGAGGGTTTTCAGGCCGGGCAATGCTCCCCCGACACCAGCCACCTTTCTGCACTCTGGGTCACTTCTCTGTCCAATGCACCTGCAGTTTCCAGCTGCCACAGATGCCTGACCCAAACAGAGCCAGCTCAGAGTGTAACCATGGGCATCACATGGGGATCAAGGAAGCTTCTGGCTGGGCCAGGGATGCCGAGTGGGTACTGCAGCTCAGCCCACCTGGGCTGGGAGTCCATCCCGGCCTCCAAGCGCAAGGCCTGGACAGCACCCCCTGCTGGAAGGCTGCACACATCACCCCAGGCCCCGGAGCCTGGCAGACGGGCAGGATGGCGCCAAACCCACTGTACCTCCGCGGTGACCGAGCCCAGCACTGTGCTGCCCAGGCCTGGCCCACTGGTCAGCGTGAAGCTCTGCGGTCCGGAGGGCTGCTTCCTAAACAGGTCCAGCGGGACCATCGCCACGGGACCTGAGGAGCAAGGACACCAGGGCATCTGTGACACACACCTCGTGGGCGGGAGGGAACCCCATGGGCTGGGAGAGTCATCACAGACAAGGATGGGCAGGGGCCCCACCCAGGACAGGCAGAGGCCTCACGGGAGGACGCCGCCTTGGGTCCATGATGGGAACCAGAGGAAAGAGCAGAGCGCTATGACACTACTGACCAGGAAGCTGCTACCTGGACTGAGGATGGAAAAACGGTCATCCTGCTGGGCAGTGGTGCAGGCCTGTAATCCCAGCACTCAGGAAACTGAGGCAGGAGGATTGCTATAAGCCCAAAGGCAGCCTGAGCTATGCAGCGAGTTCAATGCCAGCCTGGACTAATAATAGCAGGACTCTGTCTCCAAAAATAAAACTAAATAGAAGGACACCCTTATTCTTAGGAAACATAATAAAGAGGAGAGACGGGAAGGGCCATGCACTGCAGCCTGCCTCCAGAGGTATGCGTGGGTGTGTGTGTGTGAAGAGAGCAGCGGGGAAAGAGTAGACAGGGCTGAGATGGGGCATGACCGCCTGGTGTGGGCACAGAGACTGCAGGGCATGGGCAGACAGTGTGCAGGTCTGGACACAGGTGCGTGGGTGCTCTTCACCCTGTTTGCACATCTGAACCTCACAGGTCCTGTCAGATTTGTCTGGAATGGGCCCAGACGAGACTCGAGCGACTCCCCAGCCAACTGAGGCCCCGCCCTGGGCGTCCCTGCCACGGTATCTGGGGGTGTTCATCTTTTTCTGTCACCCGACCCCGTGTCCAGTTCCTCAGAATCAAGGACACTGCTTCAAGATTCCTGCTGCTGATGGGGACCTGACTAGCTGGAGAAGGACAATCATCTCCTAACCCCAGGCGGTCACCAAGACTCAAATGGGTGGCTGCAGAAGCTGGCGGTGTCCTGTTCCCGATCATGACTATGCGGGTCCAAGTGTTCATGGGGCCGGGCGCAGCTCTGTGCTCCAGCACCTGCCCGGCATGGAGGAGGCTCTGGGTTCTGGCTCAAATGTGGCAAAAAATAAACCTCACGAACATTCAAACTGGGGCCCAGGATGTAGCTCAGCAGCACAGTGCCTGCCTAAGGGCAAGGCCCTGAGTTTGATTCCCGGCACCAAATAAATAAACAAACATTAAACTACCAACTCATTTCAGACAAGCGCTCAAATCCATGCTCATTTTGGCGGCTGACCTTGCAGCGCTGTCTCTGAATTGGGGTGCAGTTTAGCCACGGCAGATTATTTTAGGGAAAAGGCAGTTGACATTCTGAGGAAAGCAGGGTGCTGGGCATTGGGGAGAGGGGACGCAGGGTTTCCCAGGACAGGGCCCTCATCTGGAAGTTGAAACTGGTTTGCAGAGGGAGGAGGTGACAGTGACCTGGGTACTTCACACCACAGAGTGCGGGCTTAGAATCAGCCAAGATGGCACATTTTGTGCTGTGCGGATTTTACTGAAATTAGAAACTGAAAAACAAGGCAAGTCTGTCGAGGTTGGGAATGTCCAAAACTGCTTCTCTAAGCAAGAACTGCTGAATGAAAGATCTGGGATATTGATGAACTTTTTCCTGAAATGAGTGGTGTTGTTAATGGACTGTGACCCAGGCGGGTGCATGGCTCAGGGAGGGCACCTGCTCTGGCCCCTTCCTAGGACTGCTCAGGGTGGGTGGATTCCTTGAACAGTGGGGTCCCCCACGGCTCCCCACTCACCTTCTGAGGGCCGCCCCTCCTCCAAGATCTGCAGGTACAGCTCCCTGGACTTGGCGTTGAGCTCACTGTGGAGAGGGGCAGAGCTGTGAGGCCTTCAAAATGTAAGCTTTCCAGGTCGTACGAATACACAGGGGGGTTAAAGCCCACGGTGAAGGTGCATGTTTTTTGGGGGTTTTTTTTGGTACCGGGGATCGAACTCAGGGCCTTCTGCTTGTGAGGCAGGTGGCGGAACTACTGAGCTAAATCCCCAGCCCAAAGATGCATGTTTTAAAAAATGTATGACATAAAAGATGCATCGCCACGAATACCTCTCAAAATCCTTCCCCATGAATGCACTCATCCCATGGTCCCTGCCACTTTCTGAAGCAGCTCTGGAGTCCTCTTTCCTGAGTGTCTTTATGAGGCTTGATCAAAAACAACAGTGACTGCTGCTGTTGAGCGCCATCCAACAGAAAGGCAGCTCCTAAAAGCACGACGCTGGGTCCTCATCCACCTTAGTCACCGGATTTGGCACCGTGTGGCTTCTGGCTCTTCCCCAAAGTCAGAATGACCAGGAAGGGAAACGTTTTGAATCCATTCAGGACGTCGAGGAGCCAGGACAGTGCAACTAAAGACACTCAGGAGAGAGGGCTCCAGAGCTGCTGCAGGAAGTGGCCAGGACGGTGGGAGGAGTGTGTTCAAAGTGAGGAGGAGGATTTTGAGGGGGATTCATGGCAATGTCTTTTACTGAAATATAATTTTTTAAAAATGTTAAACATTCACTGCATTTTAAAAATTACACCTTGTACTATTTTTTCTGATTACAGAAACCAACACAAAGTTGTCAACAGTTAAGACACTCCAGAGATGTATTACCCAGAACACGGACAGATTGCCTGCGACCTCATCAGTCAGAAAGTCACTGGATACTTGGTGAGGAGCCTCCAGGGGCAGACAGAACTGCCTTGCTGTGGTGCTGCTGGTGACAGACAGCAGGCAGCCACTTTGGTGAAACTGGTAGTCATTTAAAGGTACAGGGCCAACTACGGCTGGCAGGCACCGTGTTGGATGAATTGTGGTATAATCATCACATGAGCCTCACACCTGTCCCTGGCCCTTTGCAGCGCTTCCTGTCCTCTTCGATGCTAGCCGCCTTTCCATGTCAATCTAGAGTCCACAAACTCACCTCTGCGTGCGTCTAGGGTTTGCTACCCGACCTCGTGAGATTCTACTTTGCTGACTGTCAGTAACCGACCCTTAGGGACATGCTGGTCGTTTCTAATATTTCACCTTTCTAGGATTTCACAATTATTCACTGCCCTCTTCCTCCTGTACAGTGAAAAGCAGGCTCTCTGACTGACATTCACCTGACTTCACTTATCTCTAACTTCTGCTTTGGGCGATGACGCCCAGTGTTCTACAGGAGTGTTTACATTTTCACTGACCACTCATAAAATGGTGTGATCTGTGACATTCTCTTTTATAACTGTTTGTTGTCTGAGCATCAGAAAGGGTCTGATTTCTGTGTTTTATAGTCAGCTGCTTTACTGAATTGTTGCTTCTATTTGGGTTTCTGGCAGGCCTTGTTTCCATCTGGTGTCCATTCTCATGGCTAAAGGTTTCCGCTGACTCCCTCAGGCCATCCTTCCGAGGGAGGACTTGCACCTCGCCACTGGCAGGGTCTGCCTCTCATCTCTTTGCTCATCTGACCACAAGAGAACAAAACAATAGGGTCTTTCTCTTGCTGTCCTGGGACTTCCCATTCACAGTGAGTTTCCAAAATCTTATTAAAGAAATGCCCATCGATTTGTTCTCATTCAGTTTTTTAAAAATGAGGAGTGGGTACCGAATGTCCCTGGCTATCTTTTGGGCACACGTAAAGATAACAAGTTTCTGGCTCGGGAGAGTGGCTCCTGCTCCTGGGCGGACCTCGGGGGCTGTGGCTCAGCGGCTGCTAGCGTTTCTCCTTGATGACATGTACTTAGGATTCTGGTACCTGTCGGGAGTTTCCTTTGGTCGTCTCAGGTGGCTGAGCTTCTAAGGAGAGTGGGGGACCCCATGACCAGTCCCTGCTGTCACCACAGGGTAAGACGAGGAGACGGCCCTAAGCTGCCTTGAGAGGGAATCCTGTTTGACTTACGGCCACCTTCAAGAAGCCAGGACAGTTTGCTTGCATCTAGTCTAATTTTTCTTTCAGCAGTGCCCCACAGTGACTGGGAGGTGGCGGTCCTGAGCAGACCCGGCTGGGACGCCCAGCCCTGACCCCTCGGGCCGTACTCACAAGGTGAACTCTTCCTCCCACGCAAGGTCTGTAGTGTTCCTCACCCGGGAGCTGGTGAAGCTCTGAGCCGGGTCATCCAGCTGCGCCATGCACACAGGGCTGGTGCCGCCTGCAATCACAGGAGCCGCTGGTACATGTGCAAGAAAGGCCAAGCTAAATGCCAAGGTTTTGCTCCCCGGGTTCCAAGAGTCTGTTCTTCCCTTCAATTGCCATTGACAAAAATGCTCAAAGCACCGACTTCACAGGGTTAGAGAAGTTTTTCCTGCCTGGTGGCAAAAGCCTTGGGGAGACCCCCAGTGCCCCTGCTGCGGGCAGGACGCCCAGCCAGGGATGCCCCTGGAAGTGACATCGTCACGTGCCAAACAGGGCCCCACTGGGAGACAGACTAACGGCTGGCCACAGGCGGGGCCTCTGTACCTGACCCAGCTCAATCAAAGTCCCTCTGGGGCACTGGGTACAGGTAGTGGACAGCAGACAGGTGTCTGCTTTGAGACAATGTCACCTGCGACACTGAGTCCCAAAACACTGCAGTCAGAAACCACCAGGATGCTTTCCCCCGGCCACGCCACCTCCTCAACTTCCATGGTCACCAGACACTCAGATCTGGACGGATACCTAGCACAGGGCTGGAGTGGACCCCAACCTGGGCAGCTGCACACTGGAGCCACTCAGCTGCCATGCAGTTCAGGCTCAAAGGGCAACATATACGAGCTGGCCCCTGAAGAGTCCTCTACAGACAGGTAGGGCTAAGAAGGGCCGCGGGTTACACGGGTCTGTCCGTGTTCAGACCTGGAGGAAACCCCTTGCCTGTAGAGGCAGGTAGCCCAGTGTCCTTAGACAATTAAAAGGGCTCATGTCTGTGCATCTGTTCTGTGATCACAGTCACATGTCCAACACTAGCATGCCCAGGAGCCCGCGGCCCTGACACCCTGGCAGTGGTCCCGGCTTTCCGAGGGCAGAAGCACACACTGCTCAGGACCACTTCAGAGTTTGGGGACAGGAGAGCATTTAGAGAGGAAGAAGAGGAGGAGCAGAAGGAGGCTTCCAAACTGAAAGGACAAGCCAGCCACCACGTTCCCTGCCCTCAGCCTTCCCATGTGTGTGCGACAGGACTTAACTGACACATCCCCAGGCGTGTGTTGTGGGCACACGGAACATTTCAGCACATGTGTGCCACGCGCAGGGATCAGATTGGGACCAGGTGTAGCACTGCCTCTGAAATGTCTGCTTCTTCGTGTGGGCACGCGCAGAGTCCCCTGTGCTGTCCACTTAGTGGTACACACGGGCCGCTGTCAGGATCCCTGTCCCCTCCCCATGCACAGCCATATGAAGGTCTCTGTCACCATCATGTGTTCCAGGTATGTGGGATCAAATGCAGGCAGGGGTGGGGCCCCCTGGAGCCTCTCCTGAGGCAGCACCCACCTGAGGCCCCTGGATCGAGGAGCAGTGAGGCCCGGATGTTCTTCACCTGCAGCCTCAGCTCGTGTGCCCTGGGCGGCTTGGGGGGGCAGCAGTCCTGAGCGGGTGGGGAGGCGCGGGGCAGCTTCCGGGAGAGAAAAGCAGAGTCATGGCATGGGGAGGCTGAGGACTGAGGCCTTGGCCTCCACAAGGGTCCCACTGTGTGGAGGTCGGGGCACCAGGGACCGCACCCTGTGTGCCCCAGAAGCTTCACCCTCAAACAGCCAGTGCGGGCAGTGTGCACCAGGAGGGCCCAGTGGGTGGGTGCCAGGGCAGTTTCTGAGAGCCATGCTCTGGGGCACAGCTGTGCAGGTGCCCTGGGCAGGCCGCAGATGCCCACTGCCCCTCCCCGGCGGGATCCCCCACCTCCAAGCAGAGCCCGGCATCCGGTGCAGAGCATCCAGGCGTCGCCTGGCATTGGGCAGCTGGGATGCGCCTCGCTCGTGTCCCTTCCTCAGAGAGGCAGCAGGGGTCGCTGACAGCAGGTGCCCCAACTAGGACCTCCTCACAGGTCGGAGGGTCACAAGCCAGTCTCTGCCTCCTCACTGCCACCAACGGGGACCAGAGGGCCTCACAGGACACCCAAGGGGACGCTGACCGACATCTCCAGGGACACATGTGTTCTCTGCAGCTCCGCCTAGCACATGCTGCTCCAAGCTAGGGCTTCCGGGCCTGGGGCTGAGGGTGGGAGCGCCAGGGAGTGACCGGAGCAGCTGTGTCCGAGCTCACAGCTGCCTATACGGAAGCCTTCCTGCTCGGCCTCACAGGGCTGCTCGTCTCAGGCATGCTACTGAGAAGCGCTAAGGCTTACTAAGGGTGTTACCGCCTTCCCTTCGGGGTGTCTGGGCCCTTTCATTTCCCGGTGGGGGATTCTCAAAGCGCACTGTCTGCAGAGCCTTCCCACACTGTGACTGCTGCAGTCACCTCGGTGAGCCCTGTCCAATCTGCAAGGAGCCCCTTGTCAGGAGGGCTGGAGGAGCAGCGCTGGACCTCCCCCCACCCAATTCCCTGCCACCTCTCTGTCTCCTCTGTCGGCCCGGGATGCAGGGTGACGAAGACCCCTCGAGATCCCTGTGCCCCTGGGACCCAGCACTCAGCACCCGGCCTCTGTCCAGGATCCAAAGTCCCCGGACCCCACAGCCTGACATCCGGGGCACCTGCCGCAGCAAGGGCCCGAGGCCGCGCCATCACTCAGGCCCCGCCCACACAAGGCCCTCGCCTGACTCGGTGTCACGGTCAGGTCAGAAGCGCAGCTCAGAGCGGGCAGATCCGGCCTCAGCAAGGGGCGTCTGTGCAGCTTTCCCAGGGTCCCCGACTTTTCCGCACCGGGGACCAGTTTTGTGAAGACACCTTTGCACAGCCCGGGTCGGGTGGTCGGATCGATCGAGCGCATGGCGATCCCCGTGCGCTAGCCCGCTCACCACGCCGGTCTCGGTCTCGAGGAGGGCGCAACCCAGCCACTCGCGTGCGCAGTGGCGTTAGGGTGCGACCCCCTCAGAGAGCGGCGCCAGCCAGCGGGCGGCCAGCGTCTCCGGGCCGGGCCAGCACGGGGCCAGCCGCTCACCTGAGCCTCCTGCCGGTCCGCGGGCCTGGTGCTCAGGACCACCGCCGGCGCGGCAGGGCCCACCAGGCGCTTCAGGACGTCCCGCAGCGCCCGGGACACGGCCTCCGGCTCCACCGCCGGGTCCTATGGGAGAGGTCGCTGTCACTTGGTCACCTGCGCCCGGGCCACCTGCCGCACCCTCGAGGCTCCCCTCGCCACCGTGAAGGGAAGCGGATGTGTTGGGCTGCGCTGGCCCCCGGCGGACAGACAGGACCTTCTGGCTCTGGGCTGGGCACCCTCGGTCTCAGAAGCCCCTCACACGTGGCTGGGTGGGGCAGCGCACACCTGTAGTCCCAGCACCCTGGAAGGCTGAGGCAGCAGGATCGCAGGCCCAGCCTGAGAAACTTAGCCGCTTAGTGGCTGACCACTTGCCTAGCATGCACAGGGCCCGTGCTACCACGGCTAATAATAATACCAGGTGCGCAGCTTGGCCTCTGGCAGGTCTCCTGTGAGTGGTAGGAGGGAAGAAGCAGTGGCCAGCTGCTCGTTTGGACTGCAGGCCTGGACAAACAAGGCCACCGAGGGAGAAAGGCGATGCAGACACCGGAAGGAAGGAATACAGGGAAGCAGGGAGGGAGGGAGGCAGGGCATGAACTGGGGGTTCGTGGAGGAATCTTAATCCCCCCACCTCTTAAGAGTGCACTGCCAGGTTCCGAGTGCAATCCTGGTGTGTGCACATTATGAGAAATTAGCTACAAGTACAAAACAAAATCAAGAAAACTATGTACGTCACTGTCACAGCACGAAGGCTAAAATACCTATTGACAAACCATTAACTTCTCATCTTTCAACTGTGCTCTGCTACAGACAGCCTCACAGGGAGCAGAATGATAGGGAAGGGGCTGGGGGTTTAGCTCAGTGGTTCTGCTGCCTGCCTTACAAGCTCAAGGTCCCCAGTTCCATCCCCGGTACCCCCCCAAAGAAGACGGAAATGTGAGAGCCACTGGGAAGGATGCGCTGAGCCACCTTCACGCAAAGACCTTGCACAACCTCCTTCCTCCAGCCTCAAAGCCCTGTTGCCCGGGAGGTGGAGGACTGGTGCTTACGTTTTAGGGATGCGCTTGTGACAGGGAAGAGAAGGGGCTGCCTTCGATGGCAGTCGCAGGACCCCGCCTGCGCTCTGAGAGGCATCCTCACCGTGACACGGGCCCCAGGGACCTCCTGTCGCATGACCTGGTCTCGGTTGCTGGCCTTGACCACCTGACACCGCCCCAGAGCTGTGCGGGGCGGGCTGGGCGACTCCAGTTCATCACAGCGGTGTCCAGGGCCAAGGTCAGCCCGGGACAGACGGAGACAGCGAGGAGGCTGCCAACAGCACAGCTGAGTCCTCCCGAGCTCTGCCCCCAACGCAGCTGTCCCGACACGCACGGGCGCTCATGCCGGCAGGAACCCCAGGAGCGACCCACCTCTGCGGCTGCCGGGGTGCAGGGCTGGACCTGCACATCTGTTTCTGGCATGGGGATGAAGGACCACTGGATCTGGATGTCCTCTCTCTTTTCTCTCATGTGGAACTCCAGCTAGGAAAGGAGAAACAGTCACTGACACTGCCCTATGACCCCGCGCTGCACCAGGTGTGCATGCACACAGGTATGTCTGCGTGTGTGTGTCTGCGTGTGTGTGTGCGCGCATATGTGTGTGTGCGCATGCCCGTTTATTCATTTATCTGCTTCGACGATCGTTCAACTTCCCCCTTGGCCTGTTGCTTTCAGAGTGGACAAGAAGACCTCAAACTTCTCTCGCGCCCTGCACCAGCCCCTTCCTCAGCCTTGGCATTGAGGGACAAGGGCCTGGCAACATTGAATTGCAGATTCTTCAGGAAGCAGTTCGCTGTGATCTGCATTTCTCTTTCCCATGCATCCTGCGGCACAGCAGAGGCGTGAGGAGGAGACCAGGGTGCCCACCCTGGCCAGGACTGTGGACTTGGCTCAAGGTGCATCTGTCTCCCACCCAGCACCCCGGTCTGTGCGGTTCTAACCGGGCCTCACCCACCTCTCCCCAGAGCCTGGGAGCGGGGCCAGGTATGGCAAGGGGACTCGGCTGGTGACTAGGCTGGGACTAAAATGGGGAGAGCTTCCCGGTTTCTTTGGGGGACCCGGAGGAATCACGAGTCCTTAAAAATGGAAGAGGGGGCCGGGGATTTAGCTCAGTGGTTCTGCCACCTGCCTCGAAAGCAGAAGGTCCTGAGTTCGATCCCTGGTACCAAAAAACCCTCCAAAAACCAAAAAATGGACGAGGACCCAGCAGTGAGGCCAGAGAGGCAGGGCTTGAGGACTCGGCTCAGCGGAATGAGGCTGCCCGGAGCCCTCCGCCCGGGGCCCATGGCAGGGGACACGGGTGGCACAGGTGTCACAGGTGTCAGGCCACAACCCCCAGGAGCCATTCTACCAAGGAGCGAGGAGGCCGACTGCTCCCAGGCTTTGGTGAGGGGCGCTGGTGTCACAGCGAGAACCAGGACATTGACGTGAGAAGCCCGGGGTGCCCAGCTGGGCGGCAGGAGGGACCCAGTCTCCCCGCTTCAGCCAGATGCTTTCCAAGGCCACATCGCAGCTCTTCCCAGCTCCACACCACCCATCCCACACACAGGTAAGGAAAGAGTGGTTCTAGGCTGGGAATACTCAGGACTCCTCGGTCCGAGAAGCTGGGGAGAGGCCGCCTCCCTTGTCACGATGCTGCAGACACTGCAGGATTCCATCCCGGGGAAGCAGGTCTCCCACCCACCCACAGGCAGGACCTGGCCACCAGCCAGCTGCCTCCTGCCTGCGACAGTAATGATTCCCCCACTGTGGTGTCGCAGGGCTGTGGTCCCAGCACTCAGGGGCTGAGGCAGGAGGATTGCTGAGTTTGAGACACAGCGAGATCCTGTCTCAAAAGAATTCACCCTCTGCAGCGGCTGCCCCTGCTCGGGGAGCTGAGCTGCAGGCTGGGGTATCGTCCCTGTGACAAGAGATCATGGATGTGGCTGTGGGGAAAGGCAGCAGGAGGCTTCGCAGCGCCTACAGCGATGGCACTCCCTTGGGTGCAGCACAAGCCCCCACAAACTTAACCAGATGTGCCCCAGCTTCGAGGGTTATTCTCCACCCACCTTGTCCAAAAATGGTGGGGTGCAGGAGAGGGAATGCAGGACATGTCCTGAGGCCAAGCCCTCAGCACTCGTCTCTAAGGAGGGTCCTCCAGGGTGGGGTTGGGGGCCTGGGGAGAAGGTTTCAGGAAAAAGCCACTTAGGTACCCAGGAGGCCTCGTTTTGGATGGTTGTCTAAAACCATGCCTTTCTAAGAAAAGCAGATGGAGCGAGGTGCAGCGGAGCCACCTGTGAACCTGGCACTCTGGGAGGCTGAGCCAGGAGGATCCCAAGGTCAAGCCCAGTGTGGGCACCTAGAGAAAGCCTATCTCTAAATACAAAATAAAAAGGGCTACAGAAGTCACTCAATGTGAAGACCCTAGGTTCAATGTTTTAAAAAGGAACCCCGAGTCCCATCCTGCTCTGTGGTTGGGGTCCTGGGTGACATGATTTGCCCTCAGGGCTGGGGCCAGGGACAAGGACAGAGGAGACGGGACATGAGGGGAATGGACAGGGACCTCTGGAACAGGATCAGAGATTCCCAACTGTTCAGCATCTGCCAATGACCAGTCCAGGGAGCACTGTGCCTGCCTCCGATCACTGCTGCAGTGTGTCCCTCGAGATACAGTTATAAAACCAGAAGTCTTATTATTATAGATCCATCATCAGAAAAATAACAACAATACTAATTTTTTTAATTTATATGAAAAATAAGGACGCTGAGCACAGCGGCACATGTCTATAATCCCAGCACTTGGGAGGCTGAGGCAGAAGGATTGCCACGTTTCTGAGGTCAGCTTGAGCTACATAGTGAGATCCTGTTTCATAAAAAGAACAACAAAAACAAAACCAGAAACAAAGCCAAACAACATGGAAGCTTATTAAACCTCTGCCATGTGTGGTAATTATTGGAAATGTGGTGTCCTGAATGTGATGAGCATCCTTGCCGCGTTAGGGGCCCTGTGCTGCTGAGGACGGTGTCTCCCCGACTTGCCAGGTGTCCCCGGCCTTACCTGCAGGTGCACTGGGGACAGCCGCACGTCACACAGCTGGCACCCTGGGTCCTCCGAGGAGGCCGGCCCCACACTGACCAGGAACTGCAGGGCATCCCCCACTGCACGGCAGGTCACCACCTGGGGAGGGCGGGGTGACAGGTGAGACACAGGAGGCGAGAGAGCACAGGCCAGGTCGCCTGGCCACTCGCGGACGAATCGGGACTCTTGGTGTCACTGTCAGGCTTGGATAAATCCCAGCTTTTCTACTACGTAGCAATTAGAAAACTAGCAACGGGATGCAAGTCCTTCTTCCTGACGCACTCCCAGGAGCTAAACTCTGTCCCGTCCACGTGCAGCCATCAGGGCATCTGCTGCTGCTGCGCTGTGCTTCCCACCATGGCTGAGTGTGGAATGTCCACACTCACACGCAGCAGGTGCCGTAATGAGAAAATGAGCCACGATGGCTACAAGTAGACACAGACAGCATCTCTACCTAAATCATCCTCACAGGTCATTAGTTTTCAGAAAGTGGGCGCAATTCAAATTATGAAATAGTCAATGATTAAAAAGTTACACAGCCATAGAACAGAATTATAAGATGGGCCCGATTATAAAATACGTTTGAGTTTTTGGTTTGTTTTGGTTTTTGGTTTTTTGAGACAGGTCTCCCTATGTAGTTCAGGTTGGCTTCAAACTCATCATGTAGCCCAGGCTGGCTGTGAACTCATGGTGATCCTCCTGCCTCAGCCTCCTGAGAGCTGGGATCATAGGTGTATGCCACTGTACCTGGCTAGATTTTTACTGTATTTTTATTGTCATTTTGGTCAGATGTGATGGTGCATGCCTGTGGTCCCAGCACTGGGAAGGCTGAGGCAGGAGGATCACCATAATTTCAAGGCCACCCTGAACTGCATAGAGAGACCCTGTCTCAAAACAAAAACAAAACAAAAGCTCTAAAAGACAGAGGCCAGTAATAAATCAAACTCTAATCCTCTTTTTTTTTTTTTTTGGTACTGGGGATTGAACTCGGGACCTTGGCCTTTCGAGGCAGGCAGCGGCACCACTGAGCTAAATCTCGGCCCTCTAATCCTCTTAAAGCATTTTAGAGAACTGATTTTTGCAGGCATCACACATGGAGAGCTCAGAATCGCCACAGAATCACTCTTCGGGAGCAGGTCTTCCAGGGGCCCAGCAACAGCGCAGCCCAAGAGAGTCTGTGGTCGGGTCACTGCACAGCTGGGCTGAGTGCCAGGCGTGTCTGTCCCAAGCCAAGCCATCAGCTGGCTGGGGTGGCCGGGGGGATGGACGCCACCTTCCCCAGGGGCTACTGGCCATCACTGGCAGCCCCTCAGAAGGAAGAGGAAATCCTTCAATTCTATGGGGTCACAGAATCGGAAACACCAAGTGGGAAGATTACTGATGCGGCCCTTGGGCGGGGCTTCTAGCAGGGCACAGGGCGAAGCTGGCCCTGTCCTTGCTGTCCTGGCTCCGGCCGAACGCACCCTGCAGTGGCTCCAGCTCGGCCCCTGCCACCCCGCCGATGCCCCGGAGGTGTCGCCTGCCCATCCTGGGAAAGTCCCTGGGCTCCTGTCCTCCGCTCCTCCCCACCTCAGGAGCCAGAGGGACGGGACCCAGCTTCCGAGTTCACCCGGGCTGGGACCAATGTTTGGATAAGAAACACTGCCAATTCATGTTAAAAATAAGTACTCCGTAAAAAAAAAAAAATTGGGGGTGGGGATCTAGCTCAGTGGTGCCGCTGCCTGCCTTGCAAGCACAAGGTCCTGAGTTCGATCCCCAGTACCAAAATAAATAAATAAATAAATAAATAAATAAATAAATAAATAAAAACTGGGGATGTAGCTGAGTGGGAAGCCTCAGGTGTGTGTGATACACACACACACACACACGAAAATAATTTTACTAAGAAAACAGACAATTTTCTTAGTGTCTTGATTCAAGCAAGAAATTTTGGCTTTCCTTCATATCTGGCCCTAAAGAAAGCCTCCCCAGGTGGGTGTGGCAGTGCATGTCTGTAATCCCAACACTGGAGGCTGAGGCAGGAGGATTACCAGGAGTTCCAAACCAGCCTGGGCTACATAGTGAGTTCAAGGCCAGCCTGAACTACATAGCAAGACCTTTTCTCAAGAAAACAAGAAAACCCCTCCCCAGCATGCTCTTCCCGGACAAGCAGATCCCCAAGTGCGTGGTCAAAAGTAAGCAAATAAGTCAGCAGCAAAGGCCGCCACTCTTACACTTCCAGCAGGGACTGTGGTACTTTCCATCAGCCCTGCCTTTCCTCCACCCTGGAGCCCACTGGAAGGAGGAGAAGTCGGAGAAGGGCCAGCGACATTCTGTTCCACCCAGGCCAGGCCCTCCCGGCTGCTGCTACCGCTACCGTCCCTCGGAAGGAGGAGGAGGCTTTACAAGGAAGTGTCCTTCAGTAGACAGGAGTGTCGTGGGGCTTCCCTCAGACACAGCTTGGACACAGCAGCTCTGAAGAGGCCCTTCTGTCAGGTATGGTGGGCACGCCTGTAATCCCAGCTTGCTTGTGCTCTCTCTCTCTCTGGAGGCTGAGGCAGGAGGATCACCACAAATTCGAGGCCAACCTGGGCTCCATAATGAGTTCAAGGCCAGCCTGGACTACCAAGCAAGATTCTGTCTCAAAAAAACCAACCAACCAACAAGCAAGAAGCCGTTCTTAAATTTCCCACATACGTGGAGCTATTTAAATGCAGCTTTTAAAGTCCTTCATACTTAGGTTTTAAGTGACTCGCTGTCACACTGATTAGTTTGGATTTTTCGAAAGTTAAATCAGGGCAGCAGCTAGTATCTGAGGGGGCTTCACAGGGCTTCTCACAGCGACAAGGGAACCTGCGGACCCATGGTCAGACTCCACAAAGCCGCGCTCTGCCTCCTTCCCTTGGGAGAGACCAGCCCTAGGCCCACTTCATGCTTCACTCTGGAGACAGGGTCTCTCTGTGTAGCCCAGGCTGGCCTCAAACTCACAGCGATCTTCCTGCCTCAGCCTCCTAGTTGTTGGAACTACAGGCCTGCACCACCACGCCCAGTTTGAGATATTTTTTTTCCCCAAAGCAAGCAAAGAGCCCCTGCATTACACATACCATTTCAAAATTAACAGAAGCCTGGACTGCAGGTTGGGGACACAGCCAGAGCCTTCTCCTCTGGCTCACTGCTTGGGAGGGGCGGCCAGGCGATGGCGTGGGCCTGGGGAGAAGGTGTGTGAGGCAGGCAAGGGCATTAGCACCTGCCCTGGCCAGGGCACTGGGAGGCCGGCCCAGCTTTCCCCTCCTCCCAGCCCCCTGACCTCACGGGTGGCAGCCGCACATCCACGCACATGCTCTGCTCCTGAAACCATGACCCCGCCGGGGGTTCAGCTCAGTGCTGCCGGCACCTGCCTCACAAGCGCAAGGTCCCAAGTTCCATCCCTGGTACCAAAAAAAAGTAAAACCGAGAACCCTTGTTTAGCCAGGAGCCCCAATCCCAGGGAGCTAGCTGTGTCCAAGCTGTGCACTGGCCTGCCAACAAGAAAGCCCCTGGTGCCTTCGGGCTCACCATCCCTCACTTTCCCTCTGCATCAAGCCTTTGGCTCCCAGGAACACTGGGGAGCTGGAAAGAACTGAATCACCGGCGTCTCCCACAGAGCGGGGTGCACAGCCGAGGAAACCCATACGGTGGAAGGGAAGAACTCACACGGAAACACAAGTGGGCACCACCAAGACGTCTCCAGAGTTAAACAGGATGCACAGTTGAGGACCTGCGCTGTAAGGGCTCTCCTGGCCGCCGACACCAAAGAGGCGGAGGAGCTGGCGGCCCGCCCAGTCATGCTGGGTAGATGCCGGGCCTGGTGCACCCGGCTCCCTGCCCAAGTCCAGGCCCAGCCCAGCCACTCTTCTCCCAACGGGATAATGCAGGGAGGCTGGGAATGCAGCTTGCTGGTGGAGTGCTAGCCTAGCATGTGTTAGGCTTTGAGTTCTATCCCCGGTACAAGCCAAAAATAAAACCACACAAATAAATGAAGAGCAAGGAGGGTCTCTGTGATGCGCCACACCGGGTGTGCAGAATGCTGTGACTGAAGTCTTATAACGGGCAGTCCACGGCTTAAAACCTGTTCAAGGGTGAGCTGTTCTCTTCCATCAACTCTGTGCAAAGACAGAGATGACATGCCCCATTCCCTTTAAAACGAAGGCAGGCCCGGGCATGGTGGTGCACACCTGTGACTCCAGCATTCCGGAGGCTGGGGTACGACTGCCAGAGTTCAAGGCCAGCCTAAACGACGTAGCAAGACCCTGTCCCAAAAAGCAAAATACCAAAGAGGTGGGAGTGGATGGAATTGGATCTTTCTCCAGCTTCTACCCAGCGCTTCCCAACTGGGGACAAGGTGTGTCTCACACCTGCCACTAATGTTCTGTATTCAGCAAACAACCCGAAACAGGGTGTGTGGCCTCCTGGCCCAGGAGCGCACAGCTCAGCCCCACCCCTGACCGAACCATGGAGGGAGACATCTGCTCCTCTCCAGCCCCACGGTGAGCCTGTGTGGACAGTGCCCGCCCCTCATCCCCTACTCTGCCCACGGCCAGGGCCCAAGGGTGAGTGCCCACTGGCCCACGCCCAAGGGGAAGGCCAGCTGTGTGAATGCCCCAGCAGGAAGTCTCCAGCCCAAGCCGCCCCAGGGAGGCTGGAGAAGCCAGGCCCGGCCTCTGTCTCCATGGGTTTCGGGTCCTCAGTGGAAGTCCCACCCTGATTCCTCTTACTCATTTCTCTCCCGGTGCTGGGACTGGACCCTGGGTGCCCAGAACTGAGCTTCGTCCCCAGCCCTTGTCACTGCTGCGTATGTGGACAGGGTGTTGCTGTCACCGGGCTGGGCCGGGACTCTCAGGCCTCTCCCTGGGCTCTGAGCCCGTCCGGGCCCGCAGGCCTGCGCCGCTGCCGCCTGCCCCTCCTGGACTGTCGCAAGGCGCTTCTTCTATGACCGAAGGTGACAGACCTACTCTGCGGGGGGAGGGCAGCAAGCTGGGCCCCCACCTCCTTCCAGGGGACCTCACGGATGGCGCTCACTAATGGGCCAGCTGGGGATTCTCATCGGAACTGAGCAAAAGAACTGCTGGCTAGTCAGTGAC